TTTTTTTTTAGTTTTTAAAATCAAATGCATACTTGCACAGAGTTTTAAAGGCCATATAGTTCTATAATGATTATTATAAAATCCACTAGGCTCTGCCTCTCTTTCCCCCATTTTCTGATCCTTGGAGGCAACCACTTCAATTCCTATTTTAACTGATTCTGTTGAAGACACCAGTCCAAACGGATTAGGGGCCCACCCTACTCTAGTATGACCTCATCTTAACTAATTACATCTGCCACAACTCTATTTCCAAATAAGGTCACATTCCGAGGTACTGCCGGTTAGGACTTCAAAACATCTTTTCTCAGGGAGAGGACTGGACACAATTCAACCCGTGCCCGGGGAAGGGATTTGGTGTTGTAATTACTTCTTACACAGATCTTCAGCCAAATCCCTTTCCTTCACCCTTCACTTCCAAAGGTAACTTGTTTGCTGTTGCCAATTCTTGAGTCTTGTGGGGGGCGCATGGTGTAAAGTGGTTTCTTAGTCCTCCTCAAGGCCAGTTTAAGTTAGTTTCTCAGAACTGCTATGTCAACTATCATTTGTAAGTTTTCCAACTGACAAAATTTTGTCTTTGTTCCCTCTGTTCTCTTTTTATCATTGAAGGTTTATGCCTTAAAAAAAAAATCTCTTTACTATAATTTTATTGGGGTTTGAGGGTGGAGCTGAAACTAAGATAGATATTGAAGCCAGCATTTTTAGCCAGAAGTTCTTCTATGTGTATCTTCGTTCTCTCCTTCTCAAGTGGTGCCTTCTTTTTTAATTCTCTCACATCTCAAACCACAACAAAACTTGTAAGGAAAATATTTCTCTATTCTCGATATATGTGAAGAGTGGAAGGAGAGAGAGAGATGGGGTAGGGAGAGGGAGAGCCAAGTTCGATTGATTCAAAGCCCATATTCTACTGATACCACTCTGCCTCCATGAAGTGGATGAATAAACAAATATAGTACTCACCACTCAAGAAGAGAATGGCTGGAAAGCAATCCAACAATGCATGTGAACAGCTATAAAAATGCTTAAAATCTCTGATAGAGTAAGTAGAACCACTCTCAAGATTTTATCCTGAGGATATAATTCAACAGGAAGAAATGACAATGTAGACTTTCATTTGTGATGAGAAAATGGTGGACTAAATATTCTGAAAAACCATTCCACCACAAAAACCAAAGAAACCCTAAATAAAATACAGAAAAACATCTTTTAAAAGGTATTGTTGAGGGGTGCCTAGGTAGTGCAGTCGGACTAAGCATCTGACTCTTGGTTTAGGCTTGGGTCATGATTTCAGGGTCCTGAGATAGAGCCCTGTTTGGGCTCCGCGCTCAGCATGGAGTCTGCTTGTCCCTCCCACCTCCCCCTCCCCCACTCTTACTCTCTCCAAAATAAACAAATCTTAAAAAAAAAAAGCTATCATTAGGCTTATAAGAAGGAAAATCCTTGGGAGTGAAAGATAAAGAGGGAGCTCCAAACTATGGTCTGTGACAGGACTCCAAGCACATTCGTCACTCTCAGGAACCTAAAGTCTTGGGTTTTTATGACCTCATGCGTGTGGGAGACAAGATCTTGGACTCAGGGAAGGTAGGGAATTGGAACTGAGATGTCTGCATAAAGCCAGACTCTCACAGGACAGTAAAGTGAGACAAAATGGAGACATAGAGGAGAGGGAATGTGGGAGAATTAATCTTCCGTATAACTGAAGAACACAAAATGCAAAGAGAAAATCTTAAAAGTTGTCAGAGAGAAAAGAGAGACCATCTAAAAGGAACTAGCCTGGCAGCAACAATGGACCAATAACTTTAGATTGCTGAGAGAAAACCACCGTCTAGGTAGAATTTGATACCTACTTAAATCATGTATTTAAGAACAGGGTGAAATGAGGGTATTTTCAGAAAACCAAAATCTGAAAGAGTTATCACCAAAAGATGCTCATTAAAGGAGCTTTTAAGAGCATACATTAGGATAAAGAAAAATGATCCCAGAAGGAAAGTCTGAGATTTATAAAACAACAAGAACATCTCATTTGGAGGTTAAAAATAAGATGGTGCTAAAAATATTAGATAACAATAACTTTTAAGACAAGAGGATGGTGATTAGCCATCCTAAGGCCCTTGGATAGTTTGGGAGGAGTGGAGCTATTGATTTAGATTTTGAGTACACATGCTGAAATTTAAGAGTAATCACTAAGAAGAGAAATAGAGTATACAACTTCCAAACCAATAGAAGGGAAAATGTGGAATCAAAAGAATAATCTGAAAGAAAATAGGAAGTGGAGAAGATACAGAAAAAGCAGGATAGACATCACAAAATAAAATGGTAAAGAGAATTCCACATACCAACAACGAATTAAAAGCACAATAAAGTGTAAATGTTCTAAACTCACCAGTCAAAAGAAAGATATCCTCAGATTGGACTAAAATGAAACAAAACAAAACAATCCAGATATTTGTTGTATCCTAGAGAAAACCTAAAATACAAAGATGTGGTATATCAGAATAATTCATGTTAGCTGCTGGTACAAACAACCCCTAAGCTGGTTGGGGCTTAACACAAGGTTTAATTTTTGCTCACATCATAGTTCATCAGGTAAGGTTCCTGCTTTGGCTGTCACTCCTTCAATCAGTGACATAGGAATCTGGTATCTGTCGATCCTAGTTCTACCGTCTTGGAGTTCTTTGCCTTGAGCCATGTAAGCAGGGGAGAGAGCACATTTAAGACCATGCACGGCATTTTAGGGGCCAAGCCTAGAAGTGGCATACATCGCTTCTGTCTATATTCCTCAGTGGTCCCAACATAACTGCAGAGGCTGGGCTTCTTCCTGTGTTTCCAGGAAGAAGAAATGGAATTAGTGAGCATCTAGCCAGTCTCTGACACATAAAAAGATTGAAAATATGAAAAGATGGAAATGGATATGCTAGGCAGACACTAACCAGAAGAAAGCTAGAGTAGCTCTGTTCATATTGCACAAAATAGTTTTCAAGGCAAAATGGGTTATTAGGAATAAAGATAGTGGGGCACTTGGGTGGCGCAATTGGTTAAGCGTCTGCCTTCAGCTCAGGTCATGATCTCGGGGTCCTGGGATCGGGCCCTGCATCGGGCTCCCTGCTCAGCAAGCAAATAAATAAATATTTTTTAAAAAGGAATAAAGATAGTAACTACATAAAGATAACATTCAACTTGTCAGGAAGAGACACTAATTCTGAAATTATATATGTACCTGATGATATCTTCAAATAACATAAAGCAAAAATTGACAGAAGTAGGAGGAGAAACTGATATAACATATACCTTTCTCAGCAATTGTTGTCACATAAACCAAAAATTAGTAGTATATAGAAAATATAAATAATCTGATTAATAAGCTTGATCAAAAGGGCATGAATAGAATCTTGTATCCAACTAGAGAAAAATGTACATTTTTTTCTTCAGAGTGCAAGAAACATTTATGAAAACTGACCATATACTTAGCTATAAAGTCAACAAGTTTCCCAGAATCAGTATCATACAAACCACGTATTCTGATTACAGTGCAATTAGGTCAAAAATAAGTAACAGAAAGATAACTGAAAGAAAAAAGATTGTATGAAGATATTCACTCTAGGGTTAATTAGCAACAACAATGAAAAATTAGAATCATGGAATTATCCAATGATATGGGTATGCTTAAGTAAATTATGCTACATCAACCCAATGGGCTATCATGTGGCCATTAAAAATTATTTTTTTTAATGGACTATGTTTAAGGTATAATATATTAAGTAAAAATTTTAAATCTATTGTATTTATGACTACAACCAAGTGAAAATATGTATTTAGAAAGATATAAGCAAATGAAAACAGTTGTTATATTACAGTGATGAGATTATGTGTAATTCTACCTTTAAAAAGATTTTCTGTGATGTGGTTATACTGTTTAATGTGAGTTAAAATAATCAATAGAAGACCTGATCTCTGTCTGGCAGCTGATGCTACTTATGCCTTAATATCCATTATCCTTTTCTTTTATAACAATAGAATTTTAGTTGGGTACAGAACTGCCCAAAACAAGTGTACATTTCCCAGCCTCCCTTGTAGCTAGGCCTTACAATGGGACAAAGTCAGAGCTAATGAAATATGAGAAGTGGGCGCCCTGAAACGTCAAGAGTTCGTCCTTCCTTTGTCTTTTTCTTTCATCTTGTTTACCTGAAATCTTCCTTAGCACATACTATGGGTAGACTGAACCCCATATACGTTTGATTGAATGAGGGACTGCTTCCTAATTTAACGAATGAGTATGTGTGACTCATGAGGACAAATACGTGTTTTCTATTCAACCGGCGTCCAGTACAAGCTCTGAAAACAAGGGGATTATCCATCCTATTTTTGGGTATCAAATGATAATATATTAATATGGTAGAGTACATGTTTATGTTAACTATATTCTAGTGGGAATCATACACATTTACCCCAATATTCCTTATCATTTAAGAGAATGTTTTTACAGAGAACGAGATCCATTTATAGGCTGCTTGCCTGAGTTAAATCAGCAATCAACCTCCATATCTTACATGTTAACCAAAATCAAAAATTGTATTTTTACAGTTCAATAAAGAATGCACTTTGTTTAATTATCATAGTCCCTGGTAAGGTTTGATATAATCCAACAGCCTAGATCACAAAAAAGGATCAATAATTTGTACTGTATCAGGAATAAAATAATCAATTCAAAAGGAGATTGGTAAATATTATTCAAAACAATTTTTATACTTGAAAAATATCCAAATACATCATTGAAGCAGATGAGACATTCTGCCCCAGGTCCTTACAATCCTCCATAATGATTAGGTATGCTATGTCATGCCTACTGTAGTAACAAATTCATTATTATTTTTATTATAATTCAGAATAGGTCAATCAAAAGGTGCTCTGTAAAAACAACATGCCAGTTAAAAAAAAAAAGGCACTAGAAGCTGACTCAAGAATAGCCTTTTATTCTGTGAATTCTAATATTTATGCTAAGCATGGCCTGTTTAGATGTTTTTAAAAACAAAGGAAAATCAAAATTGAGTAAAAGTTCCAGGGACTAACTTACTCATCATTTCTTGAGTAAAACTGTATACAGCTAGTTCGAGGGCATCTAGTAGAAATCATTATTCAGACTAAAATTCTGTCAGTAAAAAAATATTAGTACTCATGGATACTAAAAGGGCTTAAAAATTGGTCACACATTTGGTTAAGAGAGCATCCTGAAGGCTTGTTTATGTATTTCCTTTTCCTTTAATATGCATCTTAGCAAGACAAGCAGATTGTTAAATAATTTGGCTTTCTATCAGTTAGCTACATATTAACATGACGGAAGACTATTAATATACAAGTCTTGATACCAGGCAAACAACTCCTTTTCTTGTTTTTCCAATTCCTCATCTGGCATGAGCTCATCAACTTTCACAATGTCAAAAGATGGGGTAGAGAAGATGATTGTCGCTGCTTTGTACCTCATGTGTCCGTTTGTGGTTCCTAGGTAGAAGTATAAACAAAAGAGGAAAGGATTTTACATTTGGTTTTTACTACTTTCTGTTTTTATATTGGCTGTTTATACTTAGCCTCATCTCCAAACATTTACAGCAGATTTTAAAAAAATGACAAAGCAATATGTGAATACATGTTAGTTGCAAATATCCCACCACGTAGGAATGTACTGAGGCTGACTTTACAAATACAGTTTTTAAAAAGCTTGGATAGAAATGACTTTTATTTTGAGAAAAGCAACATTTGAGATGTGCTGAATCAACAGTGTCAACATACAGAGACTACTGTTCTTGGCCCCCTCATATTGATGAGCCACAACAGCCAGTATTTATCAGGTCAGCCATATTGTTGAAGAATTTTTAAAACATATGTTACCAAGAGGAACACAGCTTTATACTATCCAAGTACATACCAAAGGTGTTTCAGCCTTGAACTTGTAGATTAGGAAATTCTACTTATACAAGTAGAATGACTTACAGTTTGAATAGTGTCCAAAACAATGAATTCAGTACAAGTTCAACTTACCGTCCCCATGGAAGCAGTTTTTTCTTTAGCCATCTTATAGGCTTTTTTCATTTTTTCAACTTTCATTTGAGCTTGTTTGGATCGACGACCCAGATGTTTAATTTGATTCTGCTGTTGGTAGGGCCGATATAAAGGTTTGATAGCTGAAAAGGATGAAGGGCATCTAGAAAAGATTTGAATTACAGACAGAAAAAAATGCACCAAATAACATTTAAATGTAAAGCAAGTTGCAAATTTTATTAAAACATCTTCCAGCAACTAGATCATAGGCCTCAGTATCTGGAACAATATTGCATGCAAGTTTTTAGGCCAGAGTTACCATTTCTGCTTAAATTATATGGCGTAGTTCTTTATTTGTGCCATATGAAGGTGTAAAAATGATGATGTGGATCACGATGATGATGAAAATTATAAAACATGGTATCAATTTAAAATCGGTGTTCCTGGAAAATACCATGTAGTAGTCATTTGAATTATATATATATATATATATACAGACACATACACTCCCACACACCATATACTAACACAAAAAGGTGTTAAATTTCATACTGGCTGAAAAAACAAGCTGTTCTTATCAGTGTTGAGATCAGATACAGGTGGTGCTGTGCCCATAGCCCCCCAGGCCTCACCACTGCAAAGCACATAGGCCCAACTTGCAACCGCCAGTATCAGCCTTGCTCAGCATAACAGCTTTCTTGTGAAAACAAGGGCCCATGTGCGGGGAAAGTGCCTGAGAATTAATACTTCCCCTCCTAAACAGTCCTTAGCCAGTGCCTGATGTACATCCGTGTATAAATATCCCAACTCCCTTGCCCCCGCAGGATAACTTGAGTCGCACCTTCTGCAATGGCTTGGACATTCCCAGAAGGGATTAAGCTCCACTTACCCGCAGAAGTAACTTGTTTGCTAACACACACTGTTTTGGCTGCCTGCCCCTCCTTGTTTCCCTTTCATCAGTGGTTCTGGGAATCACCTCCCAAATAGACTACTCATATCCAAATATTTGATCTCCTGGGAGATCCCAAACTAACACTGCATTCAAAGAAATCTGTAAGAAAGTACTTTTCCCTCTTTAATTGATTTAGGATTTGGCTACTTCATTTGGCTCTTCAGATGACTCATTCTTAGATAATCACTAGCAAGAGTCCAAATAGCAGGGAACCTGGGGTTATATATGGTAGCAGGGAAAATTACACCATTTATTTGACCTTGGTGGTAATAGGGTTAAGTTCTATATTCAGTACTTATATAGATGAGTTAGAGAAAATCTATTTCATGATGACAGACGACACCCTACACCAGGCCATCTGTCTGGCAAATGTACAGCCTTGATCATAAAATATATGGGCTAAATTATATTATTGGGTCAGCACCACTCATCTCTAGCCCTGGAAAAAACCCAGTGTGTGCCTGACAGTGGATCACCAGTGTCTTCATGTACTAAAGGAGTATTTTTTCATTTCAAATATGACTCTGTGGAAATAGACTACCAATAGATCCTCTTCAATCTGATTATCTCTTTCTTTTTTTCTTAAGAAAGCTTCATTTGTAAATAAGATGGGCTAGGTGAGACTTGTAATGGAAAGAAAAAAGGAATGTAATTGGAGCATATTCTGTCCGTATTGTTTCAGATCATAATACAGTCTATTTTGCTACAACATGAGTTTCTATAATGTGAATTGGCTCACATGCTATTGCTAAAGAAGGGAATAATGTCACTGTAATTTATATGCAATTTGTCCTCAGCAAGGGGAGCCGGAATCACAAGAGTAGAATTATAACCTTCAGTAGAAAAGGAAAAGGTCCTCAGTTGTGTGCAGCACAGGCAATGGGAGCCCTTTTGGCTGTATTTATGAAAACAAGAATTAGCACCTGCATCTAGGGCTCTCTCTCCAGAGGCACCCCCCACCCCCCAGTCCACCCTGACTGCCGTTCCCCATGCTCCCTGCCTTGGGAGGGGGGGTTGGTTATTGGCAGGTTGCACTGCCTCTCATGTCCACTTAAAAGGCAACCACACTAGCCCAGGGCTCCACTTCCATCTGCATTATCTCCGTACCCACTACCTGCTCTAATTAAAGAGTGGCCAGCATTTCTGCTCTCTCATCGTACATTTTTTATATTTGCTGTGGTGGCCTGAAGCCGTCCTGAGCTGCCTGTCTGGTGGTACAAGTTATCTCCCCAGGTTCCAGTTGTCCTTTTTGTTAGTGCTCTGTTTACAGAGATGCCTACATTTTGAGCAATCTGCCCCAACCCTATTTTTCCCATATGCCTTATTATTATCTTTCATGAGCTATTTGGCAGAATGTGAACATTTTCAGAAATGCCCCTAGTATTGTGACCCCATTAAAATATCACTTTTACCTAACTTCAGAAACAATCTGTAGCTGGTGTTGACGCATCTCTTCTGTTTGTGGTCTCTGTAATAGATACTTCATTTCTTTTTGTAGACGGTTTGAGATTATTCCAGACTCTGCATAATCAACTATGTCATATATTATCATTGTCCTGGGGATGTTTTTGAGGTTTAATTTTCGCCAGTAGTTGTTTCTGCCACCAGAAGATGCCGGGGTCTCATCCAGGAGACTGGAATACTATATGGAAAAAACAAGTAAGAATGATCAGTTGTGGGTACTCCAGAATGTTTTTAGACACATTTCCCAAGGTTCAAATGTCCATTGTCACTTCATCCAAAATGCATTCCTTGATCCCATCTCTGAACTTTATCAGCAACTTTCTTCTATGGCTTATTCCTGACTACTTGACGTTTTAGCTGTTTGTGTACTTAGCTCCCCCACGAGAAGGCATGATCCTTGTCACACAGTATCACGCTCATAGTACCACACTCACTAAATCTTTAATGATAAACATTTTATTTTATTTAATGAATAAACATTTTAATGCCAAATACATGATCTGCATACCTGGTAGTGCTTGTTCATAACATGCTTGGGTTGAGAGGACATTTGCACAAACCTTGTTATAAGAATAATGAGTTCACCTCTGGTACTAAGTGGCAAATTTCACAATTTTCATTTGGAGCTTTGTAGAAATCCCACTTGTATTTATTTATTTTTTTAATTTAAAATATCAAATTAGGAATGTTAAAATGCAAATATATATAATCGATGCAACCTTATAAAATGTTCATTTAAGAGACAGGAATAGGGCCGGAGGATCTACAATGCTTATCAGCTAGGCATTTAGGGTATATCTCACACACACACATGTGAGCACGCACTGCATATACAAGCAGTCTTTTTTTTTTTAAGATTTTATTTATTTATTTGACAGAGAGAGAGATAGCTAGAGCAGGAACACAAGCAGGGAGAGTGGGAGAGGGAGAAGCAGGCTTCCCGCAGAGCAGGGAGCCCGATGTGGGGTTCGATCCCAGGATCCTGGGATCATGACCTGAGCTGAAGGCAGACGACAAGCAGTCTTTCTTTTGTATCATTTAGGCATGCACAAATTTTAATTACTACCATTTGATTGAATAAGCCTAGTCCTCCAACAACTCGTCTCAAATTTCAGTTTCCCCAGTATAACTTAACTGCATAAAGTACAAACTTTGCTGATAGCTCTCCAGTCCATAGATCACTACAGAGATAACAGATGTGTGTGGTGATGAGTGACAAATCATGTCCCTTCCTCCAAAGTGTCAGCAGTTGGTCACTGAAGATCTGTTATTTAGTTGTATCACCTCTTTGTCTCCCAGTGATAAACCCCTGTGCCATTTTACCAAAAAAAAAAAAAAAGATAATCAAAAGAATAGGCCAAAAGAGAAACCAAAATGAAATGAAATTCAAATCAAATGTAAATGGAGTTCTAGAAGAAATAGGTGACAAGGGGATATTGACATTGCCATCATTCAAGAGACTGCGGGTGGGCAGCTAGAGGAACGTGCTGAAGGTGAACTTGGCAACATAAATGAGGAAAGTGGTTGTGACGAAAAGGATGAAGCTGTCCCAGAGGAAGTGACATTGACAAAAAAAGACTCTTCACATTAAAGGAACTTTGAGAGATTTCACAACTTTTAAAGCGTAAAGGATAAAATGTTGGTAGGTAATCCGAACTTAGGAGTGTGACAATTCACCAAGGCATGGAAGAGATGCTCACTATGTACTATAAGCTACATGAGAAGAACAAGAAGGCAAGCACTGTTTAAACTACTCCTCATACAGTGCTTTTTTAAAGCTTTATTGAGATTCACATCCCATACAATTCACCCATATAAAGTATATAATTCAATGGTTTTTAGTATATTTACAGTTGATAAGTTTTTTACAAAGAAAACACTTTTCCTCCTCAATGTTTCCAATGTTTTAAATTATAGCGTAATAAATGTTTTGTTTTTCATTTTCCTATATATTTATAACAGACAATAAGAGAGTTTTTAATGTTTTGACAAGATTTTTTTGAAAGGCATGGAACAATCGTGATTTTTCACATCAATTATTAAGTTTGCTTTGCATGGTTTCAGCTTGCACGGTCATTTTTTAAAAGATTTTATTTTTAAAAAATCTCCACACCCAATGTGGGGCTTGAACCCACAACCCTGAGATCAAGAGTTGCACGCTCCACCGACTGAGTCAGCCAGGCACCCCTGAACAGTCATTTTATGGCCCTGCACTACCGCACAAAGTGAGGACTGCCTGTATATTTTACTTGCTGAGAGTGGAGTAGTAAAATGAGTAAACATCTCAGAACTGTCAATGACCTGCTCTGTACTTAAGATACGTGACTTTGGGCAAGTTTTTAAAAATCTTTTTTTCTTTTTTAAAGATTTTATTTTTTAAAATTTTTTATTGTTATGTTAATCACCATACATTACATCATTAGTTTTTATTTATTTGACAGAGACATAGAGAGCACAGATAGGCAGAACGGCAGGCAGAGGGAGAGGGAGAAGCAGGCTCTCTGCAGACCAGGGAGCCCAATGTGGGGCTCCATCCCAGGACCCTGGGATCATGACCTGAGCCGTAGGCAGATGCTTAACGACTGAGCCACCCAGGTGCCCCAAGTTTTTAAAAATCTTATTAAACTCCATTGTTCTCATCTGTTAAAAGGTCACATAATCTATACACTTGAAGATTAAAGGAGATAATATGCACAAAAAGAGCCAACAAGGGGTGCCTGGGTGGCTCAGTCGGTTAAGTGGTTAAGTGGTTAAGCTTCTGCCTTCGCTCAGGTCATGATCCCAGGGTCCTGGGGTGGAGCCCGGCGTCAGGCTCCCTCCTCAGTGGGGAGTCTGCTTCTCCCTCTGCCCCTCCACCTGCTTGTGCTCTGTTTCTCTGTCTCTCTCTTTCTCTCAAATAAAAAAAAATTTTTTTTTAAAAGAGCCAACAACAGTGCTGTTTCCATAAGGGGCTCAATAAAAGTCAGCAATCATCTGGGGAGCCTGGGTGGCTCAGTTGTTAAGCGTCTGCCTTCAGCTCAGATAATGATCCCAGGGTCCTGGGATCGAGCCCCGCATCCGGCTCCCTGCTCCTCGGGAAGCATGCTTCTCCCTCTCCCACTCCCCCTGCTTGTGTTCCCTCTCTTGCTGTGTCTCTCTCTGTCAAATAAATAAATAAATCTTTAAAAAAAAAGTCAGCAATCATCAAGTTTCTCTCTCCCAATATGTCTATCTGGGACTTCTTCCTATGACACCAATCCTTGGCATAGTCACAGTCTGCAAGTATGTGACCCATGTCCTTAGCAAAGATAGTTGGCATCCCCAAGTGCTACTTATTTCCTGGTTCAATCCCCTCATTTTCCAGATTAAGACTCTAAAGGAAATAAAGCACAATTGGGAGTCTCTAAGGCAGTGCATTAATTTCATGTGTCACAATGAAGCAACTGAGTGAATAGTTAAGGCCATATGTTATTATTATTATTATGAGTCAGAATTTTGGGATCCCTTGCATCTTTAGAACTTGTAAAATGGTGGTAATAATAGTACCTACCTCTTAGGGTTGTTATGAGAAGAAAAGGAATTGGTACTACTGAGTATTTGCTATTATTATTAATCAGGTATCTAGTTTAAGTTTCCTGACTTAGTACTGCTGTCCAGCCTGTTATGCAAACCAGGAACCTAGGAGCCATGCTGGACACCTCTCCTTAGCTGGCCCCCGTCTGTCACCAAGGCCCACTGCTTTTACTCTCTACTTACCTCTCGTGTCTTCAGCCTCACAGCCCTCCGCCAAGACACCACCATTTCTCCTGAGATACAGCAGGAACATCCAAACTAGGAGAAGGCTCTTGCTATCCTCTAATCCATTTCCTACACTGCAGCCAGACAGATCTCTTCACTCATTAGATCACCTGATTTCTTAACCCATTAAGAAGCACCAGCTTCTACTTGCACACAGGATCAAGAAAAAGAAACACCTTGCTGTGGTCAAAAGGCCTGCCTGATGCTCTCTCTCTCTCTCTCTTTTTTTAAAGATTTTATTTATTTATTTGAGAGAGAGAATGAGAGAGAGAGAGAGCGCACATGAGAGGGGGGAGGGTCAGAGGGAGAAGCAGACTCCCTGCTGAGCAGGGAGCCTGATGCGGGACTCCATCCTGGGACTCCAAGATCATGACCTGAGCTGAAGGCAGTCGCTTAACCAACTGAGCCACCCAGCTGCCCATGCCTGATGCTCTCTTCCCAGCCCTCCAGGCTGCCTACATACCAAACCCTCTGCTCCCTCTTCTCTACCCCACAGACCTGCTTTCCGGCCCTGCAGTTCCTCCTACCACAGAGCCTCTTCCTGGGGCGCAACACCTGCTCAGCCCCAGACTGACGCTGTGACACATTGTTGATTGCCTGCCCATCAACCATTTCCCACTTCTCCCTTGCCTCCAGAGCCCGGATTTTTTTTTTCCCCCAAGTATGGAACAGCAATATGTTCCAGGAAGGAGGGCCCCAGCACATGAACCATGATTGTTCTAAGTCAATCATGGAAAATGATCCCATTTCCCTTTATCAGTGATTAGGTTAGGGGGAGTATGTGATCCAGTTCTGACCAATGGGACCTGAGGGGAAGTCTGTTGGGGGCTTCTGGCAAAGATTTTTCTTTTTTCTTTTTCTTTTTTTAAGGTAGGCTCCACACCCAGCGTGGAGCCCAACACAGGGCTTGAACTCACAACCCTGAGATCAAGACGTGAGCTGAGATCAAGAGTTGGATGCTTAAGCAACTGAGCCACCCAAGTACCCCCAAAGATTTTTCTTCTTGCGATAAAAAGGAAAACGATGCTTCAGAGTCCCCTTGTTCCTGCCTTTGAAGGAAGTTAAGAATGTGATAGTCATCTTGTCACCATGTGAAGCACCGTAGAGAAGCTGACCCAGAACCCTGATGTCCTTGAGCTAGCATTAGCTAGCCCAGGACCCACCTATCTGTGGACTTCTGACATGGGACAATAAATGTCCTTTGTTGTTTAAGCCTCTTGTGGTTGGGAGTATTCTGTCACTTGTAGCACAAAGCATCCAAATAATATATGTGCTGCCGAAGCGAGCACTACAAAGCATCCAAATAATAATCCAAATATTAATAGAACCCTTCCTTACTAGGTCAAATCTCCATTATGCACCCTTTCAAAACCATGTACTTGATTTCACATAATATAAAATTCACCATTTTAACCATTTTAAAAGTAGCACTACCTATCTAATTCCAAAACATTTCTATTGCCCCCAAAAGAAAGGCCACATTCATTAGCTATCACTCCCCAGATGCAAAAAGCCAAATATTATATGATTCCATTAATACAAGCTATCCAGAATAGGTAAATTCAAGGAGATAGAAAGTGGATTAGTGGTTGACAGGGGCTGGAGTGATGGGGAGGAATGGGGAGTGACAGCTTAATAGATGTGAGGTTTCCTTTCGGGGCAACAAAAAGGTTCTGGAACTAGATAGTGGTGGTGTTTGCACAACATTGTGAATGTACTTAATGTCACTGAATTGTACCATTTTATATGGTGTGTATTTTTCTATAGTGAAAAAAATGAAACTTTCTTCTTGGAGGACAAGGTCAGGAGGCTTTTTTAAAGATTAATTTTTTTAAAGATTTTATTTATTTGAGAGAGAGAAAGAGAGCGAGTGAGCATGAGGGGGGGTGGGGCAGAGGGAGAGGGAGAAACGGGCTCCCTGCTAAGCAGGGAGCTGGACAAGGGGCTTGATCCCAGGACCTTGAGATCATGACCTGAGCCAAAGGCAGATGCTTAACCGACGGAGCCACCCAGATGCCCCCAGAAGGTTTTTTAAAATTGTTGTTTCTAATATCTAAATCTCAATTCCTTACTTGCATGTAATCTTTCAGGGTGACAATATCTATTTCATCAGTTATTTTGAATTTCTGGAAAAGATGTTCATCTTCCATAACTTGATGGTAAAACTTCTTTTTCCCCATCATTTTGCAAGCATCAGCCACTCTCTATAAAGAGAATAGAAAATAGACCTTTAAAACAGTAGTATAATAGCAACAATTATCAGTGCATATTTTACATATTTCTTCTGACAAATACATCAAATATTGTTCCTTTCTTCTAGCAGCTTGCTATTCAATAAAAAGACCGTATTTACAAAGAAAAGATTGTATAGGAGTTTTTAAACCATTTAAAATTTGTTTCCATAACCATATATAGTTTTAAATTGTAGCTGGAGGAGTAGCTGAGTCTACAACCCTCAGAGAACCACAGTGTTTTAAAAATCTGTTTTTATCCCCCCTTAAAAAACGTTCTTTGCCCTTAACAAAACAAATCTGTAGCGTCATTCGTGCTGTCAAGGCAGAGAAAACTTCCTTGGTTATTAAATAGGTTACCCTAGGAACTGCAGCGAAAGGTGTTACTAAGGCCAGCTCTCTTTTATGTGTTAGTTAATACCTCACCCCCAAATGGAAACATGTACGTTTCAGATTGCCTCCCTCTCCTTCAGATGACATTCTCTGTGGCCAGAGTAGTAGAGCATTTTTTTTTTCTCTCTGAAATGTTGGCATTTTGTACTCAAGGACAGCCCCTGATAGGGCAGAGGTAGAAGAATGCTAGAAAATACGGAGGCCCAAATCTCATCTGGCCCTGTTTGTACCATACCCTTTCACATAACGCCCATCCTTTGCTAAGAGCTATACATAGACTGTGAGTAGAGACTTAAGTACTCCCCACCCTCGTTCCCACCCCCCATAAGTATGTGCTGACTCTTCTAACACATATTTATATTACATATCTGTGCTTCTGGCCACAAAGTATATGCTTATGAGAAGGGAGACTGGCTTAGATGAAAATTCAAGTATCTTTGGATTCCAGATCAGTTTCTCTTTCCCTTTGTATCTCAGAATGTGTATTTGTGAAAGCATGGGAACTCCAGGTTATAATGCTGATATGAGGCCACTTGAGACGAGATCGAAATTTGGAATGTGTTCTTTTTACTTAACACACAATACAACAATGAGCCTGAATGTATTTTCCATTTCATTTTTCACTTTTGTTATTGAGAATATTTTTTATTTTTCTAATTCCAAAGCTTTGAACATGGACACACACGGAAAATGAAAGAATATTCAAATGGTTGTAGTTTTATTCCTAAGGCACTAAATTGAAGGGACAGCAACTGTTTATGTGATGAACGTTCCTTTAGGCAGATCATCTTTGTTTTCCATTTCATTAGTTTCTTTATACAGTATGCATCTTAAAGAGAAGGCAGTATTGGCACGTGTCACCATTATGCTTTCTTGCAATTAATTTCCTGTGGGCTCTCATTAACCATCCTCACAGTAACACTAAAGGTAAAAGCAAATAAACTGTACAGAGAACATGTCTGAAAACTATACAATTTCTGCTTTGAGAATTTCTTTAGCTATAACTGTATTTTACTTTAGCTCGAGTTACTCCGTAAGGGTATTTCTTGTCAGTCCCTCCCCACTCTACTCCACTCAGCCACCACCCACAACCTCTCCAAGCCCCAGTTTCCTTATTTGTACAGTGCCTCAGCTGTGTGGCTCAGCTGTGTCAGGCCCATCCCAGTATCCAGCCAAAAAAACCCTATGCCTGGCAGCATGGGGCAGGCTCGCTGCCCACTTGCGACAGGGGCTTGAAAAAAGTTTGCCCTCCAATGGCCAGGATGTTCTTTCTCCGGCATCTGCTGGAGATGACCAGCTTCAGGAAAGTGCTTCTGGGTCGGAAGGGATGGTTAAGAAGGGCCCAGGCCCAGGTGAAAGGGAAGGGCGGAAACGAGGCAAGGAGCCCAGGATAGCCGCCAATCAGACTAGGATTCAAGAGGCAGGTTGCATTCTTAGTGGGTGACTCAAAAGGTCAAAGGGGGGCATCTCTAAATTTGACACCTCCCTTGATACCTGGCATCACTGTGGCCCAGAAGCCCCCACAGGCCTGCAGCTCCGTGCTGGCCTAGATCCCCATACCTGCGCTCGTGAAGTTACTCTACTATCTCAAGTCACTTCCCCGCCCGGCTGGAAATTCTCACTCACGAAGGTAGCAATAACTGGTATCCCTGCACAGGCACAGAGTTTCCTGGTCTGGAGCAGTTCAGTTATATATGGGCTCCAAATTCACGAAACCAGCACACCTGCTGGGGTTGTTTAAACCTTGAAGTGGGCACAGGGCGGCAGATAGACAGGGGAGTATTCAAGCCTCAGTTCTGCCCCTGACAAGCCTCTCCGAGTTCCAGCTTCCTCACAGGCAAAAATGGGAATAACATGTACCTCACTGGAGTTATCAGGGGGCCGTATAAGAGAACATATTGAGCAGGCTTCCTGACTCAAGAGTGGTTATGAGCACAGGCTCTGGAATCAGGATCACTGGGTTTTGATATCGGTTCCTTCCCTTTCTAGCTGTGAGACCTTAGGCAAGTGACTTAGTCTTTTAAAATGGAAGATAGCCACAGAATCTACATTCTAGAGTTTATGAGAATTAAATGATAATGCACACAAAATGTTTAACACAGTACTTGATAGTGCTCAATAAGGGCAGCTCTTATTAATAATAATGTTTTTCCTTTTTACATAAATGCCCAATCCTCAAAAAGAACAGGGATCTTCAATTTAAGCGAATGGTTGCTGGACATTAATGTTTCAGAACTGCCAATTTACCTGGAGGCATTCCAGGCCACGGTGTGTGTTGGGGGGGGGCACCTTTATGACAGTGCTTGTCAAACTATATTGTGCCTAGGATCGTCTGGGGGTCTTGTTAAAACACAGGTGCTAATTCAGTGGGTCTAGGGTGGGGGCTGATAGTCCACATTTCTAATAAGTTCCAGGGGATGCCAGTGCTGTGGGTCTGCAGACCACACTCTGAGTAGCAAGGCTTTAGAATATTCTAAATATAGCTGGAGGATGAACTATAGTGACAACCCTCTGTAAATAAGCATTGCTCTGAAAATAGATCATCGAAGTAGGTAACTGAAATGAGATCTCTTTTTTGTACACATGGCTATCCAATTGTTTTAGCACCATTTGAACTGATCTGGCACATTTGATGAAAATCAACTGATCATCTATGAGTGCACATATTTCTAAATTCCCTATATCTCATTGATTTACATGCCTGTCTTTAAGTCATCACAATACTGTCAGGATCACTGCAGCTTTTTAAGCCTTGAAGTCAGGTAATGAAAACCTTTGTTCTTCTTCTCTAAAGCGGTTTAGGCTATTTTATGTCCTTTCACTTGTTTTTACTGTGTGTGTGTGTGTGTGTAAATACATGAGAAATATTGTTGGGAAATGATAAGGAAATGAAACTAGTATTGGAAGTAAGAACCAGGGAAAAGACAGAACAACAACAAAACTGTGTTCATCAGTGAACTTAAATTACACGTCTGAACTAAAACTGACTTATTTATTTCATACTAAAAATAAGTGGGGGCTCCTGGCTGGCTCGGTCAGTAGAGTGTGAGACTCTTGATCTTGGGGTTGTCGGTTTGAGCCCCACGATGGGTGTAGAGATTACTCAAAAAAATAAAATCTTTAAAAAAAGAGAGAGAAAGAAGTGAACTTAGGAAATTTGCATCAGTTTGCTCAACACAGTTTCTACATTCAAAGGACTGGTACAAACTTATAGTGAGAAAAATTCTCCTTCTACAGGTTTTCTATCAACTGTGAATCCAAGTGTTACCAGTTTGTTATGAAGCTGAAAAAGGAATCCTAATCTGTTCTTTCATGTTCTCATCATTTAAATCCTCTCAGAATGTTTAGTGAAAAACTCAAACTAAACAGTGTTATCACATTTGTATAATAAGAACAAAAATTTTTAAAAAACTTATTTGTGTGAGCATTTTTATGGGCAAAAAAGTGAAGGATACACAGTAAACTATTAGCAGTGCTCACCCCAGGCCAGTGAAAGGCCCAGCGCAGAGGAGAAAGGCATGAGGCACAGTTTCCTTTTTTAAAAATCTCTGTGCTATTTCCTTTTTTCCCAACAGTCACTTTGTAATTTAAATAAAAACTAAAGTTATTATAGAGCATTTTAATGAGTTTTAATATACACACAGTCCTTTCCAGTCACAGCCTTTAAGTTTCTCATTTGCTCTGGCCTGCAGACAGTAGGGGCCACCAGGAGCTGACCCAGGAGAATTTCTGTTCCTGGAAAAGTCTCATCATGCAATCTCAGAAAAGCAACACTTGATGATATTTTATAGGAATGATAAGCTTATTCTGTACATGAATGTGGCATGAAATTATTCCCTGAGCGTAGGATAAATATCAACTTTTGCATGCGAAGTCATTCTATACAAATGAACAAATACTGTTTCCAGAACACCATATTCCATATGAAAACACAGAGTCCATTTGATATATTCTGAAACTGAATGAAATGTTCTCTGATGTTGCCTGAGAACACAGAGAAAAGCAGTCTCTTTTTCTTTTCTAATATTCTTCAGAGAATAAATGCTGTACATCCTGTATCTGATCAGAAACTCCCAGGCTGAGTGGTCTATCCTGAACATGTGACAGTACTGATGATTTGGGATGGGCCATACTTTTCATGTAAAATATCTCCAGAAGGCTACAGGAAAATAACCTTTGATGTATGATTTATAAAAGGCTAAGTATGAGAATGCGCACGTTTTTTTCCTCATAGTCATGTTTAAGGGCCAAAGGAGCAAAACCTACACTGTAGCAGCACTGCAGATCCTTGCTATTAAAAGTGGGGTCCATGGACCAGCAGTAGTGGCAGCACCCGGGAACCAGTTAGAAATGCAGAATCTCAGGTCCCTTCCCAGATCTAATGAACCAGAAACTACATTTTAACAAGATTCTCAGGTGATTCCTATGCTGTAGACACAATTATGGTAAATATATATGAAACTTAAAAGTATGAGAAATCATATAAAGAAGGATAAATATTTTAAAACTTCATTTTCAATCAATAGTCCAGCACACTTTTTTTCTAAATATGCTACCAGAATCAAAGAAGCCATGGTAAAATGTCTTTAAAATAAAATGGCATCAAATGTTCTGCATAATTTAAAAGCCCTGACCAATGGGCCACTTTAGTCCATTATTAACAAACCAAAATTTTATTTTTTTCTTTTCTTTTAACTTAAATTCAGTTAGCCAACATATAGAACATCATTAGTTTCAGATGTAGAGTTCAGTGATTCATCAGTTGCGTATAACACCCATGCTCATCTCATCACGTGCCCTCCTTAATGCCTGTCACCCAGTTACCCCATCCCCCCACCTACCCCCCCTCCACCAACCCTCAGTTTCTTTCCCATAGTTAAAAGTCTCTCATGAACAAGCCAAAATTAAATACAAAGAAAAGTGATGAGTATTTTTAAGGGCCTTTAAAAGTAATCCATTCCAAATATTTTTTTAGCTAATAAACAGAGACACCCTGAAACATGATGATTAAAAAAATACTACCCGGCTGCTGGGCTGTTTAATGGTGAAAACACTTAGTCTGTCCACTTTGAATGCAATTCAGATACTACATAGATGTTAAGAAGCGAAAGTAACATAAAATGGGGGCACCTGAGTGGCTCAGTCGGTTAAGCATCTGCCTCCGGCTCAGGTCGTGATCCCGGGCTCCTGGGATGGAGCCCCGCACCGGGCTCCCTGCTCAGCGGGGAGCCTGCTTCTCCCTCTCCTTCCCGCTCATGCTCTCTGTTGCTATCTCTGTCTCTCTCTCTCAAATAAATAAAAATCTTTAAAAAATAAAGCAACATAAAATGTACATCATGAAACATCACCTCATTTGATGGCTTAAATAAATTTCTTCCACTGAAATACTTGTTACCATGGCCTTCAGTATGAAGAAAAATTTTAAATACGATGAAAGGTGGAAATGTTTCACCACTAAATCTGAAATAAAGACCAAAAATTAGTGATTTGGCATCAGGCTTGGGGCTTAGTTACTTCTCCTCCTATACTTAAGATAGTTCCCATAGTTTCCTGCAGGCAGGGTAAAGGCTCTGCCAGAGCGCGGAAAGAATGGGCAATGATATGGATTCCAGAGATGGAAGAGCCACAGTGGAGTGTGTGCACTCACAATTATTCTCATTCACCTGTCACACTGGACGTATCATGGGAGATAAGCCACTCTCAAGGCAGCTTTCGGCCCAAGAGTCATGCCTCAGTTTCCTCACATAATAAATGTAAGTAAGAATAACACATTTACTCTGTAATTATACCCTGAAAACGTATGAGGACTTGAGAAAATAAATTTCTAAGGTTTCTTCATTTTAACAAGTGCTTCTTGAAATAAATTAGCATAGAAATATTACCTGAATCTAACTTTACACTTCATGCTAGGATCTTTCAGGAGCTCAGCCTCTAAGGGGCTCACTTTCTTCAGTATTTCATGTGTCACACAACATTCCTGAAATAGATGATGATGATGCTATAAATGGAAAATGGTACCCAACCCAGATGTAATTTACTGAGAACAGAGGTGGCATGGTAAAGTGAAAAGTACACCAGGCTTGGAGTTCTGAAGACCTGGGTTCTAGTCTTGGCTCTTCCATTCATCAACTGTGTAACCCTAAGTCAGTTACTTCCAAGTTGGAGTAGGTGTCCCTCCTTGACATCCCAGGCATTGTTCTTTCCCCATGACAACACTTTTCACCATGTATTGTAATTAACTATGAACTAATCTGTGTCTTCCACTAGACTGTAAGCTGCATGAAGGTACTGATCCTGTCTTTCTTCTTTACCATGTATGCCTAGCATCTAGTACAGTCCTTGGAACACAGCAGGTGCTGAGCAAGTATTTGATGTTGAATGAATCATCACTGTAAAATGAGGAAGATAATAGTAATGTTACTAGCTTTTAAGCACCTTTTATATACCACACACTCTGTTACATGCCTTATAGACATAACCTCATTTAATCCTTACAACTCAGCAATATTATTCAAATATTATCATTTCCATCCTTCCAATGAGCAGGCTGAGACTCTGGGAGTGTCTGTAACTTATTCAAAGGCATACAGGTAGTAAGCGGACAAGCCAGGATGCAAACATAGGTCTCTTTGACTCTAAAGCCCCACGACATGACCCTGCCAACCTTTATGCCTATGACAATCACATAAAAATGTACACCAAAGGGTTTTTAAAATGACAAATCATTATTAATGTCAGGTAGGAACCTGAAGTGTTAGGATACCAGATTTTTAAAAAAGAATTAATTTCCTTCTTTCTGTTATTATAAGCATCTAAAGTTATAACAAAACCAGTACTATGATAATTAAATGCAAGTTCTGTATGTGAAGACAATGGATTATGGACCTGAAGTGTCACCTGTTTACCTGAGTGGGTTTTCTCTGAGGTATTCTGCTTTTACTGGCATCAGAAATGGGTCTGGGGGTCAGATGGTAAAGAAGTGTACATACGGCTCAGACTTCATGATTTTTTTCAGAGCTGCTAAAATTACCTTAATGTGGCTATTACTAATTATAAACTATTATAATCATAGGTGATTTTCTTAGAATACTTGGTATTATATGAAGGAAAGCTTTCTATACTCTGCTAGCATTGCCAGAGTTGTTTTTTGGCAGAGGGGAGGGAGGGAATATGCACCTTAGGGTTTTTTTTTTTTTTACTTAAATAGGACCATATTATTCATACTGTTCTATACTTGCCTTTTTCATTAATGAGATATCTTAGCTATCTTTGTACTGTAGAATCACATACAAGGCCGCAAGGTTTGACACCATGAAAGCACCAACACTTATTTAACCAGCATCCCATTGTTTGACATTATATGGTTTATTTCTTTGCTATTACAAACAATACTGCAATGAAATTGTACATAAATTGTATAATGGATTCCCAGAAGTGAAATTGTTGGGTGAAGGTAAGGGCACTTTTAATTCAGAGATTTTTCTTGTTGGACAATCAGTGTCCCACATCTTCAAACAAGAAATTGAATTTTTTAAAAACATCATTTTGGTTTCAGAAAAAGAAATAATAGTCACCTACATTATTTACAAATAAATCCAGAAATATTCATTTAGGGTTAACCAAAGAAGCAATCCCAGAACCCCATGCACTATTATTAGATTCAAATAAGAGACAAAAAAGGTTATATATTTTATCTTTACTTAACAGACCTTTTAGCTTACAAGTAATTAAATCTGTCAGCGAAAACAAAAAGCAAAATACATACCGCTGCACAAACTGTGTGCTTTAGGAGTTGAAATATTGTTTTGTCCATATGAGATAACCAAGCTCTCTGGATCCTTTGAGCTGAAATATCTTTATTAGCTCTGAGAAGAAAAACAAGAGGTTAACATTAATGAAGTAGTTTTCATTTTCCTAAAATCTTGGGGAACTCTGAATTTATGCTTCTTCCCCCTGCACTCTCCCATCCCCTACCCTAAGACTGACCTAATGAGGAACATTTGGATGTGGTAATTGGAACTGGTCATTTGTAGAATCTAGTCAGAATGAGGATTTAAGATATTTGAGAATATTTCCCTTAGGATTAAAAAAAGTCCTGGCTAAAACTTTATCAGCAAAAGGCATATATAACTAAAAATGTAAGAAGAGACAAATTTGCTTTCTAAAAACATCCATGACCTAAAATGATTCCATTATAGTTAGTTCTTAAGAACACTGTCCAACTAGTCCAAGTGCTATGAAAATAGAATATAGAATACTCAAAGTTACAGTAGGTCCAATTCTTTTCTGGGAACAGACAACCAGGCCCTAAAAAAAGAAACTCCTTTCTCTAATCTTTGCTTGAAACCGGCTCATCCAAGTCAGGTCAGAGAATTATCTTACTTTGGATCACATCTCAGTACTAGCAGATTGTAGGGATCACCCTCTCCAAAACCCCCCAATCCCATCCTTACCCCTCACAGGGCTACATGTGAAGAGAGGTAGATACTTCTGTATAAGGTCACCATTGGCTGGCAAAATGCAGACTATAAGATGTAGAGTAGAAAAAGCCTGACATATGGAAACAAAGCTTTAAATCATTGCTGATGCCATTTATTAGTTGTTTAACCTTATGCAAATCACTTACCTTCTCCCAGTTGCTGCTTCCTCACTTATAAAATGTAATAATAAGACTGCTTCACAGAGTTGTCAGGATCAAAGAAATGTGTGTTAACATGCTTTGCAAATTATGAAATACTATAATTATAATAATTACTATTCAATTCAAAAGTAATTTTAAAACACACTAAAAAACCTCTAATTTACAAAACAAGAAGTGTTTGATGTTAGCTGGGTGAATACGGTATGGAAACCGACCAGTTGTGGAAAATGATAAAGGGCGAAAGATGGCTACTTACTGTTGTACTGCCTTTCTCTTTCCAATATTTGACAGATGCATTTTGTAGTCTTTTCCTGAGCGTGGATTATCCGATTTTGGAACACCAGTAACTGATGCCTTTGAAGAACGCTTCATTTTCCTTATGATGAAGTGCTCTGAAAGTATACAGATTCAGCATTTGAGGTCATAATCTATATTCTTGCACTATTTGGACAAGACTCAAGTGCCATATGAATGTTGGGCTAATTCCAGAACACGTTACAAAGGCAGGCATCATGGATCTGTTAATGTTGCTTACAGTTTACATGCTTTATGTACTACAAATATTCTGAGGGACATGGAAAAGACAAGTGGATCTATCCATAGCCTTCTAACTGGTCCACCAGCCTTCAGTCTCTGTGTCCTCTTGGTCCTCCTCCACACCACAGCTCGAGTTAATTCTGTAGAGCAATAATCCAGCTTTCTGACTCCCCAGCTTAAAATCTTTAAGGGACACTTCATTTCCTCCACACTGAAGTCCAGACTCCTTAGAGTTTTCTCAATCTACGGTCCACTCTTTCAAATATCAAAACACCAACTTTCACCAGCATTCCTCTCTAGACTCTGTGAGAACAAGAACTTCTCACCAAAATCAGCCAAAGTTTTTCAACTCTGTACCATTGATCATGCCATTTCCTCTTCCTGGAGTGACTTCCCTACGGCCAGCAAACATCTATTCATCTTTCAAGACCCCAGCTATTTGATGCCTCTTCTCTGAAGTTTTCCACCCTCTCTTTTTCAACAATTTTTCACCCTGTCTCCAAGGTCCCATAAAACCGTACATGTTTTTCTTTCACAGTACTTCTCATGTATGATTTTTCCTGGCTGTCACCCCACCAAGCTCATTGAGGGCCAGAGGCATCTTGCTAAGTATGGAATCCTCCATGTCTAGCGAGAGTGGAGAATTTTACATGCTTGTTTAAGAGCTTTCTGTCCTGGTTTTATCATGGAATAGCAGTGAGACTTTGGGCAAGTTCCTTAACCTCTTGGTACCTCAGTTCTCTCCATGGTAAAGTGAGAGGGTGTGTACTAAATGTACTGATTCCACCTTTGGTTTTCTATCCTTTGATGCATTACTCCGATTTGGATGCAGTTCCCAAATTCTTAGTCACTGCTTAGTCTCTTCTACTAAACCAAGGGCTCTTCATTTTCTTCTGGTGCCATGGACCCCTATGGAGAGATTCCTAAGAATTACATTTCATAAATGCATAACAAAAAACACATAGGATCACAAAGGACTCTATATTGAAATCACTGTCAAAATATTTTCAAAAACAAAATTATAGGAATCTGTCCTCTTCAGGCGTTAAATAAGTCGAGCGCTCTAATAACTACTGTATTTGTGAGGTGGTAATGAGCAGAAATGGTATGTCAAGGAGCAGAAATGGTATGTCAAGAAGTCTGCCATGACTGTAACACTGTATGAAAGTATCTGTGCTTTCTACTGGTGACTAAGTCCCAGGTACTGCTGATACTACTGTGCTTTGTTGCCTACACTGTAAGTGACAGAAATGTTAAAGTTCAGTTAGAGATGAGTGAAAATAAAGTTGTAATTTTTTTCCCCATCTAAGTTCATATACCCCTTGAATTAAGAACTCCTGCCTTGGGGTGCCTGGGTGGCTCAGTCAGGTTGAGCATCCAACTCTTGCTTTCAGCTCAGGTCATGATCTCATGGGTCGTGGGATCAACGGGGAGTTGGCTTGAAAATTCTCTCATTCTGCCTCTCCCCCTGCTCTCTCTCTTTCAGATAAATACATCTGCCCTAATTTATCACTATACTTCACACTTTTATATACATGTGCCATTCCATTACAAATGCGGAGCCTTCAGAGTCTTCTCAATATTTGTCCTTGAGGATAGGGATAGGGATGGCTTGGAATATACAATTCTCTTGAGAAAAGGAAAAGCAGCCCTTAACATGTGGAAGTTGGCCTGGCACTCACAGCTGGGATTTGGTACTATCCTCACTTCCTAACAACACCCAACCCAGAGCAAAGCCTGGCTTCTTTGAATTCACCCCCAAATTACCTAACCAAAGCCCAAACCTTTTTTTTTTTTTTTTAAGTAGGCTGCATGCCCAGCGTGGAGACAAACGGGGGTCTTGAACTCACGACCCTGAGATCAAGACCTGAGCTGAGATTAAGAGCCTGATGCTTAACTCACTGTGCCACCCCAGGCGCCCCAGCCCAAATCTTATAATAAATTTTTCTAGCACCCTCTCACTGAGATGCCCTGCTGTGCCAAGTTGTGTGTTTTCCTTGCAGCAGTGAGGCATAATAAACCCAACTTGTTCAACTACAGATGTGTTCCTAGTGGTCTTTGGCTGGAGGGCGCGACGCGGCCTCACACAAACCCCCAAAATCTTTTGGATGCCCGCCTGTATAAATTTACACTTTCTATGGGGGGTGAGGACGTGTAATATAGATTGAAATATGAAGCATACCCCCATTATGAGACAGTATAACAATTATTTAGGCGAGATCACAGGCTTTAAAGGCAGACTACCTCGGTTTGGATTCCGGGTTTCCACTTTTTCCATGAGGCCTCGTACAAATTACTTCTCCGTGCCTCGATTTCCTCATCTACTAGATTGGGAAGAATAATCGTACTCACCTACCTGGGTTGTTGGAAAGATTAGATGAATATGTGTAAGGAGTTCTGATCAGAGCTGAGCACATAGTAAACACTGTGTTAGTGTTTTGTTAATTAGTGTACTCCTGCTAATTAGATCATTACTCTCATTATTACCTTTTCTAGTAGCATTAAGGGACATTTGATTCCCAGAGAGGGTCAGGGCCTTTCGAGACTAAAGGATATGGCAAATTAGATTAAATTTAAAAACCTCAGGAACTTCCAGCCCACGGAAAAAAAAAAATCTGAAAACCTTTTGTGAGATAATTCCAGGCCCCAGGGGTCGGCAGCTTCCGGCTGTGAGACTTTCAAAGACGCCTGAGACCAGCCGAGCGCCCCCGCCCGGCGGCCTCGGCGCACAGGATTCCCAGCCCACGCCGCTGGGCGCCCAATCGCGATAGCGAAGGCCGATTCCCTGCGCGGCGAGGAACCCGGCGCCTCCCTCCTCTCGCCCCCGCGGGCCGCCCACACTGAGCTGGCGCTTTCCTGCCGCCTAGCAACGGTCGGCGCAGGAGCGGAGCCTCCGGGAGGCGGGGCTTGCGTTCGCTCCCTGACTGAGGAGCGACGCGTTACCGCTCAGCGACGCCGCTCCGAGACCAGGCTTCCGAACAAGTCCTTCGCGGGATCGAATTGGCTGGTCGGCAGTCATCTGCACCGCGGCCCGCTTGCGGTCAGAGGAATCAGGGCCCTACCCGGCCGCCGTAGCCACCTCTCTGTAGTGGGCGGGGCCAAAGCCGGGGTGACCCCCGCCGGAGCCACCTCTGCCAGCAGCATGTTCAAGGTGAGAGCGTGGAGCCGGGTCACAGCTGTCACCGCCCTCTCCCGGCCTCGCGGAGCCCTGCTCGCGGTCTCGTGGGCTTTCCCGGGGGCTAGGCCCGGTTCGCCCCGAGGCTTTTCCCGCCTCCGGGCCGGTGCGTCCGGACTCCGCGGTTCATTCACTGATGCGCTAGGAGGGAGGGGTTGCCGGGCGGAGGCGTGAGATCCCAGGGTGGGTGGGTGGGCCCTGTGGGTCTTGCTCTCGTGAATAAAACACTTTGAAAAGTTAAAGTACCCACCAAAGTATTCACCCCTCCCACCTCCCGATGGTTCCCTATTGGGTTCTTGGGTAAGGAGAGGCCAGCCTAGGGCACTGCAGGGTTCGGCTTTGGTTGCCTGGCAGGGTCAGGTTTCAGAACCTGGTGTGTGAACCGGGGAGGGTCACCTTTGGAGAAGCTGCTGTAGAATTTGGGGAAGCTGGTGTGGGAATGGCTGGAAGGGTGGGAAGCTGGAACTTAGTTCCCCTCCCAAGTGAACATTATTTAGTGTAGACAAGTCGATCCCCTTCTTTACATTTGACGAACTTTTGTCCTTTGAAAGAAATCGCTTTTCAGAGTCAAGGCTTTGTTTCGAAAATCTGCATTTTAACCTGAAACCATTATTCTACTTTTTTTAAAAAAGATTTTATTTATTTATTTGAGAGAGAGAGAGAAACAGCATGAGAGGGGAGAGGGTCAGAGGGAGAAGCAGGCTCCCCGCTGAGCCGGTAGCCTGATGTGGGACTCGATCCCAGGACTCCGGGATCATGACCTGAGCCGAAGGCAGTCGCTTAACCAACTGAGCCACCCAGGCGCCCATTATTCTACTTTTTTTAAAAAAGTAAATAATGTTTTCTATCATGAGAAATCACAAGCTACAAGAAATTAGTCTACAAAATTGAGTCTTCAAGAAGCATAGCACCCATAAAATAGTGCTAATGAAATCTCAAAATTGTACTACTTGTTTAAAAGTTTTATTGTGGTTCTGCAGTGTGCTTTGGGCATGTCAGGACAGGCTATAAAATCAGAACATGGATTCAGCCTTACAGTCCTGGCATTGCCGCTTTCTAGCTGGGTGACCTTGGGCACATCACTTAACCATTTTGTGCCTGTTTTCCTATCGGTGAGTTTGGGGGAATAGCATATACTTCATAGGGTTGTTATAAAGAATGAGTGAGTGTAAAGCACTTGGAAGAGCTCTTGGCATATAGAAGGGCCATCTAAGTATTTACTTTTATTTTGTTTTCAGGCTGGTTTACTTAACCACCACAGATCATAAGCAACTTGCATTCATTCGATAAATTTGTGTTGAACACCTATTATGTGCTAGGAGCTCAGCTCAGTTTTAGGGTTGTACCACAAAGGATATGCTGTGATCAGTTTATATGGGTATCAACAATGCACTGTGGTAGTAGAAAGGAGAGCAGGATCTCCTCTGCCTCAGGGGTTCCCCTGTACACCGGGGGTTCTTGACCTGTGGTCTTCAGCCCGTCAGTGGGTCTATAGTTCAGGGGAGTCCCTAAACCCTGATGGAAAAAAAAAATCTTTATTTTCACCAATCTGCAACCGAAATGTTAACATTTCCTTCAGTTATGAGTGTAGGTAACTGTTCCAGTTAGTTATTGTTGGGTAACAAGACAGTGAAAACCAGTGCCTTAAAACTACAATAATTTATTATTTCTCATCATCAGTGGGTTGCCTGGGCAGTTCTGGCATCCCCAAGTGGCTGAATTCAGCTGGTGCCTAGACTTTAAGGTGGTCTTACTGTCATGTATGGGGGCTTGGTGCCCCTCATTTTGCTTTCCTTGGGCTTCCTCACATGGTCACTGGGTTCCAAGAGGGCAAGTCCGATTGTGCAAACACTTACCTGCTTGCATCACATTTGCTGATGTCAAAAACAAGTCACATGGCCAAGCCAGAGTCAATATGGGTGCACTACACAAGAGCATGGATATGAGGAGGTTCATTGGGAGCAATTAATTTAATAAGCTAATACAGCAATAAATCACAATAGTATTAGCAGTACCTGTCATCAGTAGAAGTCACAGGACCAATAGACGTCACAGATATTTTCATATCACAATTTTTGCAGATCGCAAAGTGTCATTTATGATCATCACTACTTCAAAATTACAGTAGTTAAAAGACTCACTGTTAGGTCCTTTTATTTAATGAGGTAATGAGTATATATTACTGTATCACATTTTGAGTTTTTTTTTAAAGATTTTATTTATTTATTTGAGAGAGAGAGAAGGAGAGCCAGAGAGCACGAGAGGGAAGAGGGTCAGAGGGAGAAGCAGACTCCCCGCCGAGCAGGGAGCCCGATGTGGGACTTGATCCCAGGACTCCAGGATCATGACCTGAGCCGAAGGCAGTCGCTTAACCAACTGAGCCACCCAGGCGCCCTCACATTTTGAGTTTTAAAAATGTTTTTATAACTATTGAAGTATAGTTGGCATTTTATGCAGTTGGAAGCATTATTTTGAGAAGGGGTCCACAGGGTCTGTGGCACAAAAAAAAGGACAAAGAACCCCTGGGAACTTAAGGGGAGGCTTCACAGAGGAGACGTTTACATTAATTTTGAAAGACAAGTAGGAATTCCTCAGGTGGATGAGCTGGGGAGCATCAGCAGTGGTACTCCTTTGTGGGGAGTGCTAGTATAGCTCAGCTTAAATTATTCAGACATATAGTTTGAGTAGAAAAGATCACAACAAACCGTGGCAGACACCAAAATGTAAGAAATAAGCAGAGGAAGAGGGGAGGCCAGAGATGTTCGAGAAGCAACTTCTGATAAGTAGGTGTACAAAAGGGTGATGTTTAGAAAATCAAGGGAAAAAAGTTTCAAGGAGGACAGGCTATGTTAGGATGCTTTCAGCTGGGCAAACCCAGTTACTTAAATATTTAAGGAGAATTCTCTCACAAAGTCTAGAGGAAGGGTGGACTCCAGTGGGTCAACAATGTTATCAAGGACCTGGGCTCATTTCTTGGCTTTCCATGGTAAGATTGGTTCCCCTTATGGTTGTAGCATGACTGGCAATAGTAACACATGCTTTCTCATTCACTAGAGCAGGGGAGAGGACAAAACTTCCACGCTTGGATTACACTTTTCCTTCAATCTGATTGGACCAACTTAGGTCACATGTCCGCCCCTGACCTGATAGCCAGTGCCAGGGGAATGCCATGCTCTGATTGGCTTGGACTAAACAGGATCAGCTAGGGATGGGGTCAGTTTACCTTAAACATGTGGGAAAGAAATGAATTTAACCCAGTGGGGAATGGAGTTTGGGTGTGCGACCAGCAATGTCCATTACAGAGAGATAAGTTAGATGAATTTAGAGAAGTGTTTGTTAATTTGGGCAGTTTGGAAAGCTTTCATGACTTTTATACATGTGGGTTTACTGATGAAATGAAAGCTATATTGATATGGGTTGGTGATTGAGACATGAGTAAGTGGACACAATAGTGGGGTTGATAAATTTGACTTTCTCCTTCAAGGGAAGGAGAGAGAATATGGTAACTAGAGGGACATGTTGGGTCAAGATTGTGGAGTTGTTTTTGTGGTTGTTCCAGTATTCAAGATTTGGCAGTGTTTATGGCCTTAGGGAGGAATGTAGGAGGGGGCTTTTAGAGGAGAGAATGCCTCAGCGTCAAAAAGGAGGAAAGATGTTGCCTTCCTTCTGTGAGCTGTGATGGTAGACCAGTGGTTCTCAGCCAGACAGTACCAGCCATTTGGGATACATTTTGGAAACTTGGATTGTTCTGCATGTCTTTAATTTAGTTGTTTTTAACATTTATATACTGAAATACAATTCTTATAAATCTTTCACTTTTGTTCTCTAACATGTTACCATCAAATCAGTATACTGGTCTCTCTTTTTTTTGGTCTTACATGTGTAGATGGGTGATCAATTTTATTTCAAGATAGCAAAACGGTTACTTAGAATATTTGTCATAGAATGGCGGTGTTAGGTTGAGAAAGTTAAGAACCAATGCTTCTCAAACTTTAATGTACATGCAGCTCTGCTCCAGTAGGTCTGGGGTGGGGCCTCTTGGTGTCCATTTTTTTTTTTCAGTGAGCTTCTGGATGATACAGATGCTGCTGGTCCCCCATCATACTTTGAATAGCAAGAACTGAAGCAGACGGGTAGATGAATGGTTTCTTGTGTTTTTAAAGGTAGATTGATTTTATGAGTGTGGTGGGATTTGCAAGAGGCACTGAACAAAGGAAAAAAAGGTCAGTGAGGGGCGTTGAAGACTCTTCTGAGAACTGCTTCGGGAGGTTCATCATGGCTGCCTCCTGGAAGTGGGGACCAGCAACTGGTAGGATTCATCTGGGTTTAAGAGTTGGGTCAGCTTGGGTCAACCAGGACTGGAGCGGAAAGGAATTGATAGTATAGGTGTTGGTGGAAATAGTACTGTGTGTGTGACTAGTTATGTGCATATACAATTAAAATATTTAAACTGGAACCATTGTTTTGATTTATCCATCTTCAGGTCAGTAGGGGGCACTGGTGGATTAAAAAACACATTCGGAAAAGCTGCCCAGTCTGTATTTGCACACTATTCCAGGAAGCAAGTTTTTCTAGGTGCTGCTGCTGGAGTTGAAAATATATACCCAGTCTCCAGATTCATGTTACTAGATTTCATTCATTACACAAATGTTTATCATAGTCCAGCTATGACTGAGCACCGTGCTACACCCTCACTGGTACAAATAAAAAGTCTTAGTTCTTACCCAGGACAGAGTCCCCAGATTTGGCCGCATGCCAGAATTATTCGAGAGACATTTTCCAGGGCCCTGCCCATGGATCTGATTTCCTTTTTATGTGAGGTCCAGGAACCTCTGGTTTTGAACCACCCTGCCCCCCAGGTGACTAAAACTTCAGGTTAGTGGCGCAGAAATGGCCCATTCCAATGCAGTGTGGTAAGTGCTCTGATGTAAAAGTTGCAGGAAGTATAGACCATTGGGTCTCAACTTTGGCTACAC